AATTTTTCAAAACTCTTCTTACATACATGCATTTTAATGTTTCAAGGGGCTTTAATACCTCTTCTGTACTTGAGGCACTTGGGTACACCTAGCCTTTTATAACTGCCATTTTATGTTGCATATAAGTTTCACGAAGTCATTATGGCATCAAAAAAGATGACTATGCAACACCACAGGTTTGTTCAGATAAGCACCCCATACCACATACTCCGCTGCGGTTTGCACAGCGATACAGGGAGGCACACACGCCAGTGTCTTCACATCTGGCTCTTTACGGACTTTTTGCGATCGCATTGAACAGGCATTCTGCGAGCGCCAACTCCTTCGGGTAGAGCTGCTCATACAGGCTGCCAATCTCCACGCACATGACTGGATCTGCTAAAGATGGTATTTGAAAAGGACCACTGCCAGCATTCACCAAGCACCTCTACAAACTAACTGTTCTGTGTCAGCGCAATTTGAGTGTGTGAAACAGTTTCAGAGGGCTGTGTTTTTATGAGCAAATACTAATTTGGTCGCATTAAAAGACATGACATCAATAAGGTGAGCAAGAATATATGAAAAACTGGTTTATCTCTGAAAGATGATAACATGGATTAATAGATTCAGTACTATGTCATGACATCAAATACCATGTTTTATTCTTCAAGGGTCAGGGGTAAAAAAAACCCACATCACAAGCTGTTATTTCAAGGAGCAATGGAGGTAAGCTTTTTGCTGTCTAGTAAATATTAGCAGATTACTCACATTAGCGAATTGAAAATTTTAAGTTCTTCAGTTTCACATTCCTTTGGTTTTAGTGGAAAGACTACATCAGTACCAATTGCCTGTAAAACAACATGACTATCTTTCCTTGTTACCTTGCATGTACAGAAATACCTTAGCTTCCTCATGACTGACAATCAGCTTCTAAAAAGACCTAACGTCAAAGTAACATTTTTTCACAAATTGTAATTGCAATTGTTTTATCTGGTGGTTTAAGTCACCAGTTTAAAGAAAAATTGGTAAAAACTAAAAAGATCCATCTCATCACTGAAACAGAGAAACTACTGCCAGTTATTTGGAACATCACAGATATTCCAGACTTGTACGGAGACCCTCAGCAGAGCCAGGAAGTGTCATTCACCAACAAAAACAATATGACATCATCACACACTTAATTGCTCGCCAGTGACAGGGTCAACTTTGTTTGTACAACTGTTGAGTATCACAGTGTTTGTGTGCACGTACTGATACTGCCACTCCGGGACCCACAATCACTCAATGACGATTTGACAGAGTTATCTTCAAAACACACTTTTTACTATACAATTTTAATTCATTATTTTTGAAAGATACTGGATTTTATAGTTATATTTACTTTTTAAAAAGAACTGTTGTAAATTCCTTTGCTGGTCTGCAGGCAATAGATGCCATTCTGCTTTCAAGAGTACTGTCCTTAACAAGTGTTGACTGTTGGTCAAGTGACATTTTGAGGAATTAAAAGTGATCTGCTTCAATTCACAGGCCTTTTGGTCAGAGAATCACAGTTTTGGATAATATTAGTTTGAGATTTTCTTCTGGCATTTTTCAACAGAGACCCTATCCTAATTTTAGTCAGGGTATTAACTGAACCCTCCACAAACAGACCTCCAGATTAACAGCACTAATCAAGGAGCAAAGATTTTCTCTTGTTTTTCCTGGAAAGCAAGGATCTACACACAGTTCTTACTAAAACCAAAATGAGAAGAAGCTTTCAGAGTACCATTATGAAGTCCCTCTAGCTTCAGTATGGTTCTGGGATAACCACTATCGTAGTTGCAGGCCTGGCACAAAGCACAGCTGGTAGTATCTACTGCTACTTTGTTTGTACTAATTTTTCTACTCAGAATTCCCCACCTGATAAAAAGCAAGCCAGAAGAATTCAAGGTAAAAGTTTCCTATGACAGTAAGAGATACAAGGGCATACATACATCTACCTACATACTGGGCTTCATGCTTTTATCAGACTTAAGATTTTAACCTATTTTTGTCTATACTTGGGGTAGATAAAAAAGCATTTTGCTGAAAAGGCTGTCTCTTTTGAGAGATTGAATTAACACTTTTAAACATATGCAGGGTGCTCACACCTGACCTGAAGTTAGCCAGCCAATGGAAGGTTTGTTCCGTTGTCCGTTTAGCTTCAGTAGGAATAAGAACAAGGTCAGCTGTAACTCACAAGGAATGAAAAAAGGTAGCCAAGACGGTTTCCAAGGAATACCACCCTTTTTGTTGACACTTTTAAGAAAATAGGAATTCAACAATCAGCCTGAAATAGCTGAATAAGACAGTTAAAAAAAAAAAGTTGAGAGTTAATGAGCAGAGCAAATGAAACACTATTTATTTAGATTGTTATTAGCTAATAACAGTACAGATTGTAAGTATGAGGATGTAAAGCTCTGAATACCTGTTTCTGGTATGTAAACAATATGTCACAGAGAAAAAACACACTCAATACACACTCCTCCCAATTTAACCTTCAGAAAGTGAATCACCTAATGACAATATACAGTGGCAGAACATTCAAACATGGCTTTGAGCCCATTTATTGCATTCATATTTCTTTGCTTTAGGGAATTGTATTAGTCTATTCATTTCTTGTGATAGCAAATTGCTCAGATACCACGTCAGGCATTGCCTTCAACATTGTACCTTCTGAAGACAGTCTTTAATTTACCTTCATCTTTCCCTGTCAGGGAAAGCTTGCATTTAAAGCTCTGCCTTAAATACAAGTAATGCTGAAAAGCACTACATAACCACTAGCTATCACAAGGGAAAGGAGACGAAATCAACAAAACGAACTAGCATGCTCCAAAAGAACAATTACCACTGTCCAAAAAACCCAAGACATTATGAAAGGTAGTCTTCAAAAGAAAAAAAAAAGTTTTTGAGCTCAAGCAAATTAGAGGAAAGAAGTTAACACAGTTCTTACAAAAGTCTGTCCCTGTTTACTCATATCCATTAAGTCAATGAAAAATAATGATAACAAATAGTTCAACATGTTCTATTCAATTTCCTTCTTCTCTATGCTTTTTAATTCAACGCAAATTCTTTCCACTCCAGTTTGTCTCAGAAAACTAACAAAATGACAAGTTTCCTTGGGGGAAGAGAGGGGAAGGAAGAAACAGGGTTGCTGAAGTATTGTAAGAAACGATGCCAGGAAACAAAAAGCACATGCTGCAGATACACAACAGATTTCCAAGAAAAGTGCAATTCTAGCACCACTGTTGCTAGCGAACAGAGAGTTAATGTGGCACTTCAAGAGCTAAAGACTTGGTGGGTGACTTACAAGATCACAGTTTTTCAGGTTTCTACCCAAATTTATTTTTATCTTCTCATGCACAAACCAAGATGTGTAGCACTTCATTTTTAAGCAAATATGCAGGCATATTCTTGATATAAAGGGAATCTAAAATGTTCTCTCCTTGGGTCATATTTGGGGCCAGATTTGAGCTAGCAGGTTGGTATTATCTGGTCAACTATAATATTTGCTCAAGTAGACCTTCAGAATTCTTGGAAAATTTATTTTAACTTTGGAAGCTTGATTTGAAAGACTAAATAAAGTATTGCTTTTATTAATTTAATTCAAGAGAACAATATGGCAGGGGTCACCTTTTTGAAGGGTGCTCCATTTGAAGGCAAACAGTAAAAAGCAGAAAAGCCATTCTAAATTTTTACTTAATCTATAAGAACCAAGAGCAACTGGCAGCTGGATCAAAAGTGTTGACCAACTATTCTCACTTGTTCTTTTCTTTTGCCTCCCTTTTCTTACAATCTGTAGGGAACAGCAGGCATTCAGCGCTTGACCTGCACATTTTGAAGAAGTCACAGACACGAGTTTGACAGTCAAGAAAGAGTAAAACTTCATCTTCTGAAGTGGTGAATGCTGGGAATAAGCACAACAGATGACAAAATCAGCTAGAGATGCAGGAAAAAGCATGGGTGCACTTGAGAGCCTATTGTTTATAGGCTTTATAGTCCTCAGGCTTTATGGTTACACTATTTCTATAGGACACTGATGTACAAATAAGGATCAAGAGATCCCTCTCATTTTTTAAAATTAGGTTCGATTCAGACCATATGAGTAGGAATCAAAACCTATCCAACATGGTTTTTTATATGCTACGGTCAACTGTCCTGCTTTCAGAGGTTGTTCCAGAGAAGAACAAGCACTAGGAGACCTATTACAAAGTAGATGCATTGGTAATTTCAAGCCAGTGTCAACACCTACAGCTCAGAAAACTCTGCTTTCCTCTGACCTGCATTGGGACCGAAGCACACTAACAAGGCAGAGAGGGAACCTCCTCTTATCCCTAGTCTGCACTACAGTAATCAGTTGCACAAAGAGAAAAAAAGCTTCACAAAAGTCTTATTGAGCATAATACCATGGAGCTGACTCAGAGTGTGACTCTTCTGTGATGAATTAGTCACTACAAGAACTGGCAAGTTCATTGTACTTTAATTGCTGTCACTGCAACAGTAGGGTTAATACCTGGCATGACAGCTGATGTGTCTTTGAAAGTCTATGATTATTCTTTCAGAACCAACAAAGAAAGGTGTTTTTGTTAGAATTACAGAGTTTTAACATGTCTTCCTATCTGTCAGTTATCTCCTCAAACACAGGTGTACCAATCTGTGCACCATATATGATTTGGTTTGTTTCTTTTCTATATATCCTCTTTGCACTGTGTTAATGCAAAGAGTTATAACTCAGGCATTTTGGTCATGAAGCTCAGCTCCATTAAAAAAAAAAATTGTAAGAATCAACATTCAGTAAGGAAGATTTTTCAGGCCCCAGAACAAGTATGCAACAATTGTAAACCTTTGAGTCAGTTTTGAAGCAGGGACCTTCAATAATGTTCCTCCAACCCCCCATAACAATAATATCGCCACAGCTTTTATTTTAAACTGCATGCTCAGCATTTGCCTTTTCAATCACAAACTTATTTTACACCTGTGTTAATACAGAAGCCTTTCCTCACCTTTAATGTGGCAGCCAAGCTGGCCATGTGTTCATTCAGAGTGCTCTCCGACTCCTTGTAAGTCAGGCAGGTGAACTGATATTCTTCTGGATCAAAGGCATCTGCTCCCTGCTGCTCCACGTCATTAGCTACCCCATCATAATAATCCTCAATATCCCCAGGATCCTCATCCTCTTCCTCCTCCTCGCAATTAGGGTCATAATCCTCTTCATTGCTGTCAGAGCCCTGGCTGTTCATGTCCACGGACATCTTAATGCCCTGTCAAACTGCAGACCAGGAAAGCAATTGCAGCTTCTTTTTCTCCTCCAAACTTTATCGTTCTTTTGATTTCATCTGAGCTCTGTCTCCTAAGGGGGGAAAAACAATTTTTTCTGTTGCTTAAGAAATTATAAGAGAGGCCACGTCAACATCATACAGGTGATCAAACAGCCAGGAACGGACCGACCCAATGGCCCAGCTAAAGAAGATTCTGCTGTGCGGGTCCCTGGTTTGGATCCACTGTGACTCTTGCACCTGCAAAGCCAAGTCTGCCTTTGCAGGCAAGGTCTAAAACCTCGGAGATTGGCTTATTACACTGCATCCTAGACTCCAGTGCGGGTGCCAAGACTTTTGACGTTTGCAAAGTGGCTCCATAACCTTCACTACAGATCTTTTCAGAGATATAACTAGATTTATGACATTAAGTTTTTAGCAACAGCCTGGAGTGCTGCAGAAAAGCATCATATTTGTTTCACCAACATGAAAAAACACAAACCCCTTAACTATGACCACAGTAACTAGAAAGGCAACCTGCGATAGCCTGAACAAGTCCATATTGCTTCAGAACCACAGCCGTTAAGTGGGCCTTTGGAAAATAAGACAAGCAAACAGATCTCTCGCAGACACCCAATTTAACAGTCTTCAATACCATCTCAAAAGAAATGGTGAAATTAGTTAATCCCTTTAAGTAGGTTCTGCTGGATGTGATGTGGCTTGGGCCTTACATCTGAGGGGGGGGGGAATAAAAGAAATTCTCTCATTTCATTACCTTCTCAATATACAGTTATTATCTTCTGAATGTAGAAATTTATGCTCAAGTGTTGACAGCTGCTATTCAACAAGAATCAGAACAGCCAATTTTTTGTTTGTTTGTTTTAGATTCTCACTGGTATTGGAAAATTCACATATTTGACTTTACTTACCAGAACTACAAACCTGCTTGCATAACTAAACCAGCATAAATTCGAATTCTAAGAGGTTAATGTATCAACCTTGAATTATGGTCATCTCATATTTAGTCACAAATTTCCATTTAACCAAATAATTTAGTTTCAAGAGAGAAGATATTAAATACAAAAGACTTAAACCAATGCTGCAACCAAATTTTACATATAAAAATATATACATAAAATCAAAGCTGTATTTTCTACCAGCAGCGTGTATTGGGTTTCTCGCACATGTTTGCATTTTGCATTACTATGTTGTTAGCTCTGCTACTTAAATATATTCCCACAGTATCACAATTTGTAGCTGCTGGGGAAACCATAACCAAGCTTTGAGAATCCTGACTTCAGAGCACAGGAAATCTCAACCACAAATTTTCATTATTCTTCCTCAAGTCGTTTGTCTTCTGTTTCCAATAACCTCACCAGGCAGCACAGAATAACCAGGAAGAGATGTGATGTACAATTAATTTGAGGGGCTGCAGTGATTTCAGCAGATACAAACCTCCAGTGAGAGAGGATGAGGACTAGGAGCTAATTATGTTATCCCCTGAATTCTGGTCTCCACTCCTTTCATTTGCCTCTTGATTTCTTAGCTATCCACAACATAAAGCAGCACACAAATATTTTATAGCACCGCTTCCCATAGAACTTCAGTGGAACAGAGGCACTGTCTCTCAATATTGGAAGGAGACAGATGTGAAATCTGATTTGACAGACACAAGGCAAACCTATATTGTCCCTCCCTCCCTCCACCCTGCTTAGAGTTAATGATTCAGTTCTGGGCTTAATCTGTACCGACACTGACCTCCTGCATAAAAGAAGTAATGGATCTATTACCTGTAACACCTTATGTTAAGGGAATAACTTATTTGAGAATCTAAAACCACTGTGAGCATTCCTACAGAGATATCAATAGCCTAGTGTGCAACAGCTTTGTTCAGCCAACCTCAGAGCCCCACAAGTTTCACCAGTCAGGAAACTTCTCAAATTCACTCAGATCACCCCACACTCTAGAGACAGGAAAAAAACCCCAGAACACTGGGTCCATTTGCTATCTCAACACATAGTGAGTCCCATCCAAGCAATGAGATGTTTTTAGATATCTAAGTAGAATAACGGGCCTACCCAGTACCTCAGCAGTTACATACTAGTCGCTGGGGAGGAGGCTCAGAAGAGTGCAGAGCCACTTCTCTGTGCCACTAACACATTTATTTGAACAAACAGAGGAACTGTTTGCATGAGCAAATGGGATATATCAAGCAGAAAACAGGCTGCAGACTGGATGACTTCTGTGACTCTTGTCACAACATTCTAGGAAAGAGCTCACTTCCAGCATAGCTGAACGTCAGACGGAAATGCGCGGAGAGAGAGGAAGACTAAGGCGCAAGCTCTGTGGACAAAACAAAGCAGGGTACTAGGAAAACGAGGAACAGAACTCGCCTCACCTAACGCTCAGCATAATGCCCGCATGACCCAATGACGAGCTCGCTGAATACAAACTGAGACAAAACACAGCTAATACTTGATAACACTAGTTTTTAAGACAATAAAGATGTTAAGCTCAAAAAAGAGGGTCAAAAAACCAAGCAGTATTTAGACTAAATAATTACCATAATCCCAAAAATCAGATTATAAAATTTTAAACCATATTTAGATCGCTTTCCTACCCAAGGGAGGATGAGGTCCTTCTTTACCACCTTCATCCGAGATACTCCCTCATCTTCACTAACACTGATACAATTTAATCCCCTCTCTTCCTCCAGCCTCCTTGCAGGAGCTCGTAAACACTCCCACCCCTACGCTCTGCTGCCTATCGGCTCCAACGGAGATGCCCTCTTGCTGATTCCCGCTTTGCAACACAATTCTTCTTAACGAGGTCTCTTGAAACAAAATGCCTTCAAATATGCCACCATCAGTCTCTCTCTGACCTCACCACCATTAGACACAGTAAATTGCATTATCCCACCTCATACCCTGTTCTACTACATCATTCTTCTCTGATTTCTTGCCCTCTGTATCTACAGAGGATTTCTCTAGTAAGTGCTTTGTAGGATACTCCCACTTTTTCTGTTGATGCTTCACAGCCATTTGAGATGGCTTTTTCTTCTCTCACCTCTTTATTCATAATTCTGAAATAAAGAAAGTCTAACTCAAGTCTGCCTCCTGAACTGCTTATCCATGTAAACTTCAAATGGACTGACACTCTCTTTTCTCTGCAACCATCTACAGCCCCAACTCCACACTTGCTATCAGTGTTAATTGCATCTTTGTCTATGTCACTCAAACCTGTAACCCGTCGATCATCCTCAATTGCTTCTTCATACACGCAACATGCATCCCTTGTCACTTCCTTCTCCACTGAGTTTTTTGATGGGATTTTTTCATCCCAAGAGTGAGAAACTAGAACAACATCCCCCATCCTTTTCACCACAGATGACTCTGCAGAGACCTCCTTGCAGCCATATCACACATCCCCCGTGAATCTGCACGCTCTCCTCCCACTTCCCAGTCTTTGTTCAGACTATCACGACTGCCTTGTCCTTCCCAACTCATCTAACCCATTTCATTCCTGTCCCTTCTAATCTATCATCGCTTTTAACAAGTTATTTTATGCATACCTACGCAAGCCTTCCTTCCATGGTAACTCTGGGCTTGGGCGGAAAAGTACCCAGTTCATTTAAATTACCTCAGGTCCATTCCTTTGCAAGACTAAACCCTGTACTTGTCCCCCACAGCCAGAACGCTGCATGCTTGTAGGAGGAAAGCCTAGGAAAACTGGGGGAGAGAAGGGAGCTGCGGAGGCAGAGCCCGAACGGTGGCGGGGCGAGGAGGGAGCCCCAGCACAGCCCCCTCGTAGCCCGTGCCGCCTGCCGGCCTGAGAGCTCACAGGCTGCGGCTTCTCCCGCCGGGCAGCCCGACCTCGGCACC